AAAAATATATATATATATATATATATATATATATCTAAAATCCTCAAATCCTCCAGTGACTTATGATTGTACTTGGAATAATATCCAAACTAGGCTAGGTGTGGTAGCTAACGCCTGTAATCCTGACACTTTGGGAGGTGGAAGTGGGAGGACTGCTTGAGGCCAGGAATCCTGGACCAGCCCAGGCAACATAGTAAGACCCCATCTCTACAAACAATTTAAAAAGAATAAAAAATAAAGTCGAAACCCCCTTTCCTAGCCACTGCCTGCCTCTCTTCTCCTGCTCGCTTTCCCCAGTTTACTAGACTTCAGCCACACTGACTTTGACATGGTTCAGGATCATGCCAATTCATTCTCATCTCAGGGCTTTTGGCTTTGCAATTCCCTTTGCCTAGAACGCTCGTCTTCTGGAAATTCTGACTCTTATTCTTCAAGTCTCAGCTCAAAGGTCCTTTTTCAGAGGCCTTTTCTGATCACTCCAAGTTACCTATCATCTAGCTTATTTTCCTGATTTGCCGTGCTTTGTAGCACCTATCTGTATCTGAAATTATATCATTTGTTAAGTTGGTTGTTGTTTCCTCTTCCAGTATATCATAAGTTCCATGAGGTCTGGGACTCTCCTTTACTTAACCCAGCTAAAGGACTGATGGATGCATGTACATCATTTTTATTGCTTTTTTTTTTTTTTTTTTGAGATGAAGTCTTGCTCTATTGCCCAGGCTGGAGTGCAGTAGCACCATTTGGGTTCACTGCAATCTCTGCCCACAGGGTTCAAGCGATCCTCCTGCCTCAGCCTCCCGAGTAGCTGGGATTACAGGCATGCACCACCATGCCCGGCTAATTTTGTATTTTTAGTAGAGACAGGGTTTTACCATGTTGACCAGGCTGGTCTCGAACCCCTGTCCTCAGGTGATTCACCCACCGTAGCCTCCCAAAGTGTTGGGATTACAGATGTGAGCCACCGCACCCAGCCATCATGTTTACATATGTATGTATATACCATCAGTAAGTTATTTGAAGGTAGGTTTCATATCTTTTTCATCATCCCTTGACCTTATATATAATAGGAACTTAAATATCTGTGGAAGGAGTTAGTTAATGTACATCTTGGTTTCTCCAAAGTATAAGTAAGAGCAGTCTGTTTTTGGCTGATTAGAAAACATCCCTCCTTCCTTAATCATTTCCAACAAACATCAAAAATATCACTTACACATACTTAAAATCACAGTACTTCCCAGGGTTTTTGGGCTGTTCTGACTATTTTCACTGAGGTAAAAAGGCAGAGGCGTTTCACAAAGCATTCTTTTATTTGGCTTCCACTTAATGCTTTTCATTCTCCTGAATATGGATATGCTGCAAAACATTCCATTCTCTTGACATGGATGTCCTGAAAGCATTCAAACTTTGCTGAAGCTTTTGTAAAGCCAAAGAAAAACCAATTCTACCAACTATTCCTAGATTTCTTTTTTCTCTCTCTCTCTTCTTTTATGAATGGAGAAATATTGTTTACAGTTTTCCCTGAGGCTTCTGGTAATGCTTATCAGAATCTGAGGTATTGCAACTAGAGTTCCTCTGTTCTTTTATAATGGAAGGCTGCAGAAGCTTCCCTCCCCATTTTTTAAGCTCTCAACTGAAACTTACAAATAAGTAAATATAATGTTCTAATTCATTTTCTTAGTTAATAAGATAAAAACCTCTTTTTAAGAAATTAAACATTTTTTTCAGTTGCAAGCATGATGTGCTCTCAAAAAAAGGAATTTCTGCTATTGAAAGTGAAGTATTATAGCTGGATGTGGTGGCCGACAACTGTAATCCCAGTACTTTGAGAGGTACAGAGGGACACAGGGGATTGGATTGCTTGAGGCCAGGAATTTGAGACCAGCCTGGGCAACAGAGCAAGATCCCATCTCTACAAGAAGTGCCTGCTGTGCCAGGTACTTGGGAGGCCAGGGTGGGAGGACTGCCTGAGCCTAGGAGTTATGGTCACCCACTACACTCCAGCCTGGGCAACAGAATGAGACCCCGTCTCTGAAAAAAAATAAACAAGTGAAACAGTGTAGTTTTCTCCCAGTAGCAACTCTTTCTGAAGCCTTGTCCAGACTTTAGCGCCTCTCTCTTCTTTTTTGGTCTTTACTAGCATCTGTCCCCTATCAAGGCGAATGATCAAACCTCTCCTGAGTCTTTAACAAGGAGGATGTTGATCTTTTTCTTCTAAAAAGAAAATGATCTTCTTTTATTAATCAGATGATTTAACTTACTTTTGTTTTTTTTTTTTTTTTTTGAGACGGAGTTAGGCTTTTGTTACCCAGGCTTGGGTTCAGGCAATTCTCCTGCCTCAGCCTCCTGAGTAGCTGGGATTACAGGCACGCGCCACCATGCCCAGCTAATTTTTTTTGTATTTTTAGTAGAGACGGGGTTTCACCATGTTGACCAGGATGGTCTCAATCTCTTGACCTCATGATCCACCCGCCTCGGCCTCCCAAAGTGCTGGGATTACAGGCTTGAGCCACCGCGCCTGGCCAGTAAAACTTTAAAAGGGTAAAGGGCATCCTTAAAGGTAAACATGAATTATTAAAAGCAGTTTTAATGGCCGGGGTGGTGGGTTATGCCTATAATCCTAGCATTTTGTGAGGCCGAGGCAGGCAGATCACCTGAGGTCAGGAGTTCAAGACCAGCCTAACCAACATGGTGAAACCCTGTCTCTACTAAAAATACAAAATTAGCTGGGTGTGGTGGCACACATCTGTAATCCCAGCTACTCAGGAAGCTGAGGCAGGAGAATGACTTGAACCCTGGAGGTGGAAGTTGCGGTGAGCCAGGGTCACGCCATTGCACTCCAGCCCGTGCAAAAAGAAGAGCGAAACTCCATCTCAAAATAAATATATAAATCTATAAATAAAAGCAGTTTTAATAAATTCCTAACTTGATCTTGAAATCAGTGCTCTAAAAATGGAGCAGTAACATAATCAAGTCGATCATCTTATCTCAATATTAATGGTTAATGTAGAAACAGGTATAAAGGAAAATTTCTCAGAAAGATGAGATTGTTCATTGTTCTTGTTGATATATAAAAACAATGCCGACTCAAAAGCAGCCAACTGGACAGCTGCAGACGCTGAACCCAATGGAAACACTAAGCAGGCATAGCACGAATCAGTAATTAACAAAGCAGATGCACAAAGCTTGATGAGGATGAATAACTGCATAGCTAGAAATAGTAAAAGGAGCTGATAACAGTACAAGATTTGTAAGAAATTAGATAACTCTTTGTATTCATGAATTTGTTAGCAAGAATGCTTCAATGATACACAGAGAAATTTTTAAAACTATTTTGATTACATTGATAAATACCTTTATATGGTACTTATCATTAAAGATATTTAGAATCAAAATGATCCACAGGAAAATATTGGTAGGGTGAACATAAAAATAATTATAAAAGAATGAAATCATATTCAAGGTAGGCTAACCACAGAGGCATCAAATGTGCTTATTTTTGGAATTCTTAAGTTTAATAAAATATTGAAATTAGAATACACATTTTTTTTTTTTTTAAGACGGAGTTTCGCTCTTGTTACCCAGGCTGGAGTGCAATGGCGCGATCTCGGCTCACCGCAACCTCCGCCTCCTGGGTTCAGGCAATTCCCCTGCCTCAGCCTCCCCAGTAGCTGGGACTACAGGCACGCGCCACCATGCCCAGCTAATTTTTGTATTTTTAGTAGAGACGGGGTTTCACCTTGTTGACAGGATGGTCTCGATCTGTTGACTTCGTGATCCACCTGACTCAGCGTCCCAAAGTGCTGGGATTATAGGCGTGAGCCACTGCGCCCGGCCTAGAATACACATTTTTTAATGTTTATATGTATGTATACATGTACCTATATATATATACACACATATATGTATATTATAGAAAATCTTCCCTACTACTCAGGACGTTCCTTGAGGATAGGTATCATGTTTTGTTATGTACTCTAAAAACAGCAGGCTCAGTGTGTTCTATTTAAATAGATACCTGTGGAATGAGGAAGTAATGTATATCTTGGTTTCTTGAAATATAATGAAAATGGACAATGTGACTAAATATACTTTAGTAAAAGCATTCGGAGTAAACTGCACAGACACTGAACATGTGACTCGGTAACATCTTTTAGGAGGCTTTCTTTTTTGAGAAATAGCTCTCAAACTGCGGTGACAGTGACTTTAAAAACTAGACAATTGTAGAGGTAATAGATGCATTTATAGCAAACTTGGAGAACAGCTTTCAGAATTCTGGGTATATAAAGAAGCCAATAGCATGGTTCATTTAGAGCCTTTTTCCTTAGGACATATGTTGTAAGAATTACCACTCTTACAAATGCAGCAGATTGGTTGCTCGTTACTATAGCAAGTGTTTTTTTTTTGTTTTTTTTTGACAGTGTTTTGCTCTGTTACCCATTTCGACTGGCTGGAGTGCAGTGGTGCCATCTCGGCTCACTGCAACCTCTGCCTCCTGGGTTCAAGTGATTCTCCTGACTCAGCCTCCCGAGTAGCTGGGACTACAGGCATAAGCCACAATGCCTAGCTATTTTTTGTATTTTTATTAAAAGCAGGGTTTCACCAAGCTGGTTTTGAACTCCTGATCTCAAGTGATCCACCTGCCTCTGCCTCCTAATGTGCTGGGATTACAGGCGTGAGCCACTACGCCAGCCTATAGCAAGTGTTTTAACCCAAAGCAGATTTGTTCTTCATCTGCTGGTCCATTTGATATAATTCTATATTATTTTAGTTATCATTGAAAATGCACACACTTTCTATTGTCTACTTGTTCATTAATTCAAAAATATTCACTGAGTGCCTACTATGTGCCAGCCACTCTTCTTAATGTGGGAATATAGCAGTGAACAAACAAAAATCACTACACTTGTGGAAATTTTATTCTAGGAATGGAGACAGACAATAGTCATGATAAATCTATAAAATATAAATTATATAATGTTAAGGCTAAGTAAAAAAAAATAAAGCAGAGAAGGGCTATAGGAAATATAGAGTAGAAATTTAAATAGAGTGGCCAGGGAAGGGCTCACAAAGAGGTGACATTTGGATTAAGTCCTGAAGGAAGGAAGGGAGCTAGTCCAGTGGCTATCTGGGTAGGAACATTCTATGCAGGGAGAATTGCAAGTTGCAAAGGTCTTGGGGTGAAATCGTGCCTGGAATTGAGGAATATCAAAGAGGCCAGTGTGTCCATGGGGGAGGAAGTAGTTGGAGATGAGATCAAAGAGGCGACAGGAGGCTAGGTCATAAAGGACTTCACAGGGAAGGAACCCTGAGGTTTTGAACAGAGTGACATGATCTGATTTTTTCACAGGTTCGCTCTGGTCACTGAGTTTTGAGAACAGTATGAAAGAGAGTAGGTGGGAATAGGGAGATTGTCTAGAAGACTCCACCGTAATCCAGACAAGTGATGGTTGTGGCTTGAACCAGAGTGGTAGCTAGTGGCTAGATTCTGGATGTATTTTGAAGACAGTATTCACAGGGTTTGAGGAATATGAAGTGAGGTTATCCAGTATTTGTGATATAGTTACAGTTCCACTGTTCTCTCCTAAGTGACAAAAAAGACAGTTTCTCACAGGTTGTCTGTCATTCTCAGAGTTTGACGGTTCTGATATTCAACTTTCCTGAGTTTGAAAACACATCGCAATTATTTCCATGTCCTACCTCAGCCTTGAGAATGAAGAGAAAGTGAAACTGTTTGAAGACTGATAGTTGCCAGCACTATCTCATGAGCTCCTCCTAGACTGTAAGTTCCGCTAGGCTTATTTCATTTCCCTTGATGTCCTCAAAGCCTGACTCAGAACCTTGCACACATTAGGGTCTCAAAAAATGTTTGTTGAATGGTTTAGTCTACATTTCCCGCTCCCACTGCCTTTTTTTTTTTTTTTCCTCTGACTTTGTCACCCAGGCTGGAGTGCAGTGGTGCCATCATGGCTCACTGTATTGTCACCTCCCAAACTCAAGCAATCCTCCCGCCTCAGACTCCAAAGTAGCTGGGACTAGAGAAGTGCGCCACCACGATTTGCTAATTTTTTGTATTTTTAGTAGAGAAGGCTTTTCACCATGTTGTCCAGGCTGGTCTCCAACTCCTGGGCTCAAGCGATCCACCGGCCTTGGCCTCCCAAAGTGCGGGGATTACAGGCATGAGCCACCGCGGCCCGCCTCCCACGGTCATTGTAAAAGACTACATTTTCGTATTTGCTAAAGTGAAAATGAGTAACTAACTGAAAATAACTAACTGAAAATAACATTGCAGAATCACAAGCTAAAATGTTGATTTCGGTATTCAGGATAGTATGCTGGAATACTGCCAAGTACTTTCACTCTTACTTAGCTCACCCGAAAGGTGTTTTAGCCTCCTTGCACCTCGTAAGCTGAACGCGGAGAATGGCTTTGCTACTTGCAGCTAGGGCCCAGTGTCACAGCGCACCACGGAGTTAAGTCCCCCTTGAACGTGAACAAACGTCTCTGAAACATCACTCAACCTGCGTTATCCAATGGGTCGGAGACCCCAGCCGCTAGCGGGCACAGTCACAAGTCCCGGAGGTACGGACCCGCGCTGTGCACGCCGGGAGTTGTAGTTCCTCCTGCTCTCTCGCAGCCCGCCGGCCTTCGTCGCACGAGCGCCCCCAGCGGCACGCAGGTTCGGTGAAGCGCAGCGCGCGGGGACCCCTGGGGCAGTTTCCTAGCAACCGGGGGAGCGGCCACGTCACGGTGGCAGGTTCTCAGCGCGGCTGGGCACCGTGGGGCCGCCGTGTGTACCTTCCAGCTGCTGCGGGCTGGTGGAAGCGCTGCTCGCTGTCGGTGTCCGCACGTCTTCGTCTGCCCTTACTCTCCTTATCCTGCTCCAGGTAGCGGAGAGCCGCCTCCCGCCGCGCCCCGCCACTGAGGCCCGGGTCAGAGGCTAGAGGCCGCCCGGCCCGGCCCCCGTGCGGTCCTTGCCCCTGCGCCAGCGGAGCCCGCCGCCCCGGGCCTCGGCGGGACGATGCTGGAGTCCATTCGCGTGACGGGTGAGTGCGGGAAGGGCTGGTCGCGGCGGGGGTGCGGAGCGGACCGGGGTCGGGTGGTCTCGGGCCCAGGTGATGGCAGCCGCGGGCTTGGGCGCGCGCCTCGGGAGTCCACCCTGCGCCCAGAGCCCTGCGGGGCGCGCTGGAGGCGCTCGCGGAAAACCTACGGAGGGAAGAGAGAAATCGGCTCCTTTTCCTTTCGTCGCTTATTATCAGTAAGAACGTGCTGTGGAATCTCGTGAAAAAGATGATAATAGACCGGCTGCCGGTCCTACAGAGGTCCAGTCCAAAGACTTAAATCCCGTTTCAAAACACGCTAGGTGTGTGATTGAGCGTCATGGTTTTCTAGAATGTTCAGAAAAAATAAGCGAAAGAACGCATCTCTGTATTTCAGTATTTATACTGTGTGTATTTGTGTGTGGACGCTTTTATTCCTAAACAGTGGGAACGTTTTGAGTTGATATTATCAATGGGCCATTTGACAGTACGGATTCTACCAAGTGTAAAACACGGGTCTCTAAACAGACCACAGGTCAGAAAGACTGAAAGTTTACCTGCCTTTTAAAAAATTCAGTTCAGCCTCTGGGAGCACAGAAGTTGCCTCTTGCTGTTTGTGAACCGCTGTCCGTGTTAGCCATTAGAAAAAAGCTTACATAATAATATTAGAGCCATTTCCTAGGCCATTTTCCCGGGATTTGATTCTGTACGCAAACATTTCTGCAAGGCAGGGTTTTGGCAGTTCAGAGTCATGAGGAAGAACAACGGAGTAAAGGGAAATTCCTACTCCTCAAACTAGTGCCAAAAGAAAGCCAGAATTTTAAACTTTAAAGCAATGCTGTACCTAAAGGACTATTCTTCTGTGAGCGTTCTAATTGAAAAACTAAACCTCTTTCCAGTGAAAATATTCATGGTCTTAGTTTTCTACTGTTTTATTTCATGTTCGGTGTTGTAACAGCACACGGAGTTGATTTGTGCAATCATGACATTGCCGCGATGTATCTCATTATTTACGTTGACAGGAAGCATAGATAGTTACAGGGTGTAAGATCGAAAGGTAACTTTAATTGGCATTAGATTTTTAAAAAATATGATTTGATGTAGATGCTACTTTCATCCTTCCATCTTAAAACACAATTAAAATGTCAAAAGTTACTTAAAAGTACCACACCTTCTAAATGTGGAGCCAGGTTTCTCATCCTCAGCACTCTTAACTTTTTTGTTGTTGTTGTTGAGACTGAGTCTTGCTCTGTTGCCCCGGGTGGAGTGCAATGGTGTGATCTTGGCTCACTGCAATCTCCACCTTACGGGTTCAAGCGATTCTCCTGCCTCAGCCTCCTGATGTAGCTGTGATTACAGGTGTGTGCCACCACGCCTGGCTAATTTTTGTATTTTTAGTAGAGATGGGGTTTTTCCATGTTGGCTAGGCTTGTCTCGAACTCCTGACGTCAGGTGATCCTCCCACCTCGTCCTCCCAAAGTGCTGGGCTTACAGGAGTGAGCCACTGCACCCAGCCTAGCACTATTAACTTTGAACAAGATAATTCTTCCTTGTGGGATACTGTTTTCTGCCCCAATCCCTTAATTGTGACAACTAAAAAATCACAATTTGGGGGGTGGGTAACATCTCCTTCTCCTCCATAGGAACCACAGCTTTGAAAAATATCTGTCACAGTGCACATTATTTGATTGAGAAATCACATTGATTAAAATTATTTCCCCCAACCGTAACAATCCTTGTAGAGACACAAATAGTACTAGTATTAGAAAGTAGACACTCTGATCAATTAGTCATGTATGGTGATCTCTTGATATGTCAGCATGTTGAGTTAGAAGTTTGAGAAGAGATACTTTAGAACGTCCGAGACCCACTCCTCTTGTCTCTTTTCCCTTCCCATAATATAGTGGCGGGTGCATTTATCAATCCAACCCTGTGTGTTGCAAACCCTGAGGTAGATAATTTGGCAGTGAATTTCTATAGTACAATAAAGTTCAAATAGCCATTTGAGGCCATTCAAGCCTCTAATTTACAATTCCTTTAAAAATAACTGGGTTATTTTTCAGACTACTTTCTCCCTTTCTTTTGTATAGTACTTAACTAATTGAAATAATTCTGGAGCCCTGTGCCCAGCATTTCACTACAATGTCAGAAAAACACAATTTGGACAGCTAGAAACTTCGTGAAGAGAGTTAAGCTGAAAACATGCCTTCCTCTGCCCTGGTTATTCCCTCCCTTCATTGATATCTGAGATGCGCACGTTCCTCTTTCTGGTTAGCAGAACCTGATTGTCTGTGGTAAGAGTCCTGATGGAAATATGTTCAATTTTTTTCAGCTCTAAAGTCGTCACAAATGTAGAACAGACTCATTATTTTATATTTCAGGAATGAAGCAATTACTTGTTTCTAAAATCACTTCCTATATAGTATCTTACCGACTTTTGACTTATTAACGATTTAATATAATCTAAATACCACACCCTGGTGGAACTGCTGATTGGAGGAGTACAATGAAATAAGGGGTGTGTACAGCATCTGTGCTGTTTACCAACAGAATCAAATCAGAAAAGGCGTTTTTGACTTCTCATGGCCTTTTAAAGAAGAAAGTTCTCAGGCTGGGTGCCGTGGCTCATGCTTGTAATCCCAGCACTTTGGGAGGCAGAGGCGGGTGGATTATCTGAGCTCAGGAGTTCGAGACTAGCCTGGGCAACACAGCAAAACCCGATATCTACAAAAATTGTTTAGAAAACTTAAACTGGCATAGTGGCCCGTGCGTGTAGTCCCAGCTACTACTTGGGAGGCTGAGGTAGGAGCATCACTTGAGTCCAGGTGACAGAGGTTGCAGTGAGCCAGGATTGCCACTGACTGAGACTCTGCCACAAAAAAAAAAAAAAAAAAAAAAAAATTCTACTTTAGTTTCCAGGATTTAAAAAAAAAAAAAGAGTGTTTATTATACTAAAGCCACTACAATCTTGATTCTAAAATGTAGAGCAATTACCTTATTAACATGAAATTTGCCTTGGAATCCAAATTTAATGATTCCAAATATTTCCCCATTTACATTTTTCCATGGTGGTGTTTCTCCAGGAGCTGAATATAACATTTAATGTGATACTAGTAATAACAGTTAACAAAGGCTGCTTATGTATAGTCCAGTGCTGTTCTCAGCACTGCACATGTATTAACTCAGTTTATGTATAGTCCAGTGCTGTTCTCAGCACTGCACATGTATTAACTCAGTCTATGTATAGTCCAGTGCTGTTCTCAGCACTGCACATGTATTAACTCAGTCTATGTATAGTCCAGTGCTGTTCTCAGCACTGCACATGTATTAACTCAGTCTATGTATAGTCCAGTGCTGTTCTCAGCACTGCACATGTATTAACTCTGCTTATGTATAGTCCAGTGCTGTTCTCAGCACTGCACATGTATTAACTCTGCTTATGTATAGTCCAGTGCTGTTCTCAGCACTGCACATGTATTAACTCTGCTTATGTATAGTCCAGTGCTGTTCTCAGCACTGCACATATATTAACTCTGCTTATGTATAGTCCAGTGCTGTTCTCAGCACTGCACATGTATTAACTCTGCTTATGTATAGTCCAGTGCTGTTCTCAGCACTGCACATGTATTAACTCTGCTTATGTATAGTCCAGTGCTGTTCTCAGCACTGCACATATATTAACTCTGCTTATGTATAGTCCCGCGCTGTTCTCAGCACTGCACATATATTAACTTTTAAAATC